TTTTATCACGCAGGGGTCCCCTGTAAGGCATTTGGCATTTAACTCCAAAAATTCAGAGACTTCGCAGAGATTCCTGCATTTTTTTTTTGAGGAATCTAACTGGGTAATATGGGTATAAAAAAGCTCAAACTACTACATTCTAGGAAATGGGATTTATTTCTTTAGGCGTAGTATTGGGTGGATAAAGCTGTGCTCCTAAAAGTAACATTCAGTAGAGGGCACCATCACCATGTCTACCAGAGAATTTTAGAGTGGCTTGCAATTGGATGAAAGGAAACTGAATTATTAATCTATAGCAATCTAAATTGAGTCCAGCTTAGCTCATTATCTCAAACTAGTGGTTATAGGATCCTTGTTTGCATTTAAATAAGGGTAGCTGCTGTGAGGCAGTGGAAAGACCCCTGGCCTGGGAGTCAAGAGAGCTCTGTCCAGGCTGCTAACTTGTGACTAGAGGCAAGGTAGATTTTTCATCTCATAAAATGAGGAGATTGGACCACATATTTTCTTCCAGTCCTAAAAGTCTTTATGTATTAAAAATGCAGAATAAGAGTATAACACCCAAAGAGGAAGGATTGCCCTATTTATAGATTGTTCCAGTCCCTTGATTCTCCAGCCTCCTCGTCTCTCAGATGGCGACTTTGCTGATGGCACCACCTTTTTGAGGACAGATGGAGCAAATGGAAATGAAGCTCCAGTCAGTTTTTCTAGAGTGTTAATGGGGAAGGGAGAAGGGATTGGCATATAGACTAGACCTTTCTCAGTATCTGTGAATGGATTAATTTGTGGAATATCCCAGGTAATCCAGGGTCTGCCTTTCCCTTAATCAGGTTACTAGATCACCAAGAGTAGGGCTAGTCATGGGGTAGAAAGTGGGAAATTTATTGTAATATGTCTGGGTGTTTTTCTTTTGGTGCATTCTAAGAAACAATTTTGTGTTTTATAAGTGTATTTTTCAATTAGCATGAATAAACTGAAATGAAGTATACTTTGCCAAATAAAGGGACATTTGGGGTTGTTTGGGAATTTCCTTTACTTTTATTAACTGTCATTCCCAATGCTATATATGTGGTCATAGTCACACTAATTTATGTAGTTCATTAAGATGTACTAAAGTCCATACTACATGAAGTTTTTTCCTTATAACTCTATTAAGGTAGATCACTTAAATCTTATTATCCACATTTTAGAGAGGAGGAAATGTAATCTTTAAGAAGGTCAGTGAATTTTTGACCCAGGGCATCAAATGTGTGACCCTACACATAGCTAGAGTTGGCCTAGGGAAGCTCTGAAGCCATGGAGAGCTCTGCTCCAGGACTCTGTTTCTACTATGGCTTCTGCTGTCTAGGCTGCTCAAGACTGAGGGACCTGAGCAAAGCTGTGTAAGATCCTGAGTGCCAAGCCCATGGACTGCTCATTTTGGATGGAACTCAGTTGTCTGAGCAGCTGATGATCGAGGGGGACATATTATCGTATTTAAAAGAACCTGGTAAGCCAGCATCCTAGGGTCTAGGGCTGAAAGATACGATGGAAGGAATGACAGCCAGTGTTTATGTAAGACTTTGATGTGCTATCTCCTTTGAACCTCACATCAGCCTTGGAAGGTAAGTACTACGGGGATTATTAGAATGGGAACAGTCGGGACATCTTTCTCACAGGATTATTGGGAAAAAGACACTTTACCAGCACTATATAAATATTAGCTCTTATTATTATTAGTATTATTATTTCCTTTTCAGTCCTATTTGCCATCCAGCATTTATCAAGCACTTACTGTTTTCTAGGCCCTGTGCCTTTAAGCAGTGAGAATATAAAGAAATTCAGAGGATTGCCCCTCTTCTGGGGAAGTTCATAGTGTGAGATGCTTACAGATAATAGGGTCTTGGATTCAGAGGTGAAAGGATGTTTGGCCACATTTAGGTCTCATTTTGCTGGAGTTGAGAAAACTGAGGGGAGATGGTTTGGCTGTGGGGCCCCCAGGCAGTGGAGGCAGAGGCACTCAGTGTGCATGCCTCACAGCTTCTCCCCCTGGGCCCAGTGGGGCGATAACCTTCCTCCCCAGATCTCAGGATGGATGGAAAAGGTCCTTGCCAGCTACCAAGTGCTAGATAGCGCAGGCAGAGATGTTGGCGTCGGTTCTGCTCTCGGTTAATGGTCCGTCCTTTTGGTTCTCCCGTAGTTCCCAGGCCTGTGGGTTTTACAGTTTTCCCAGCGCTTTTGCCTAGCCCCAGGCCTGTCTAGCAGCCGCTTCAGAGATGGCTAGCATTTGTGCTTGACAGAGATGGAGGGTAAGTCACCTAGCATTTATCAAGTGCTCACTGAGCACCAAGCACAGTACTTACTTGCAGGCTCGGTGAGTAACTCTGGGTCATAGATCTAGAGGCAGGAGGCCCAGAAGAGCCCTGCTCCTTCCTTTTCTGGAGGGTGAAAGTGTGCTCAAGTCCTTCAGGTTGCAGGTTGGAAGTAGCAAAACTGGAACTCAGACCCAGGTCACCTGCCTCTCCGTCCTTTGTCATCATTGTCATTGTCATCTGCTCTACCATGCTCCAGTCTCAGACGTAAGTAGAATAGCCTTCCAGGTGCCTACTGGGGATGATCTGAGGAAGAACCAAAATAATCCTCCCTCAAGCAATTCTTCACCCATAAGGACCTAGTAAAGATCCAGATAGCTTACCTAGTGTTAAGCTCTTACCCATTTACTTTATATCCATTTTCATCTTTGATCCCCTTGAGCTTAGAACAGTACCCAGTATATAGTAGGCACTTAATAAATGTTGGCTAAATTCATCTGACTTATATTACATTACCTTTTTACCTAGCAGAGCCCTGCAGGAACAGGATAGGATTGAGGATGGATACGTTTTGATTGGGTTGGAGTTAGGGGAGGTCTGAAAGACAAGAAGTGGAGTCTGACAAGGGAAGGAAGAAGAACCGGGGAGGGGGCAGGCCAAGGTGTTTAGGAGGCCAGCTGAAGGGACTGGGTCTCTGGATAATTATGCTGCAAGGGGGAAGACAGCACTTTGCATAAAACCAGTTGTGCCCTTGGGGTCAGCCGCATACTGCAGTACCGAAAATAAAAGCTGGCTCTGGGTGACTGTGTGGGAGGCTGGCTTGGCTGCACTGGAGATAAATTTGTTCTTTTAATTTCCCCCTCTGTTGGAGATGGAGGTGTGGCGTGCAAGGAGCTGTACAGGTAAACAATGGCTTGTTTAGTATTTACTCTTGATTATTTAAATTATTATTTATAAATCTGTTCCTCAGTTTTTCTGTTCTGCTCACGTTATGAAGAAACCTTTTCTTTCCTTTTATAGAGAATTGGGATCAGATTCCTACAAGTTTGGTCAAAGATTAAGCACTGCAATCAGATTTTAATGTAGGGAGGAATAGAGGCAGTGGGGAGAGTACAAAGAAGAGTGGACTCGGGTGCAGAGGTTCTGGTTTTGAATTGTGCCGCCTTATTGCCTGTGTGGCCTTTCCTTTTCTGGGTCTTACTTTGCTCATCAACAAGATGAGGTTGCACTTGGTCAGAATTTCTTAAGCTGCTTTATGGCCGGGAGCCCTTTGGCCAGTTGGTGCGGTGAAATCTCTGGCCCTCTTCTCACAATATTTTTAAATGCACAGTATAAAGTAAAATACGTAGGATTGCAAAGGAAGCCAGTGATATTGAAGTAGTTGTCAAAATATATAGTCTTTAAATTCATGGATCCCAGGTTAAGAACCTTACTTAGACTAGGTGGACTGTTGGCTTCTGTCTGTCAGTTCTAATTTTAAAATTCCTTGTCCTCAGTTTTCTCTCGATTTGTGAATCGAAGGGAAGCATATTGAAGTGAATTGAGCTCTCTCCCTGCAGCAAGAACGAGAAGCTGAAGGATTGCTCTTTGGAGCACTGTTTGTCATTAGAGAGGGATTAAAGCTGTTAATCTTATTCTACTCTCACATCACTTTTCTAGAAGGGATTCCGAAGAGTAGAACTTTAATTTAAGGATGGGACGCTATGGAAATGATAGGGCTTGCTATAATTTGGCTTCCAATATGTTAATACGAAGTTGGGGCCCAGTGTGGTAAAGTGATATTATGCTAGATATGCTTCTGGGAAGATATTTAATGCCACTGTCGTGCAACCTGTTATTACCATGGCCTAGAGTTTAGGGGAAGGCAGTGTGGTGTGAAGAGCTTTTATACTGGCTAGTTTTTATTGTGCAGGAAATGCAATTTCTTTCATGTTGATACCTACTTGTGTGTCTGAGACAGCCTGGGAAAGTCCTCCACATGAGGATGCCAGGCCCTCTATTCCAAGATTCAGATACAGCAGTGGCAGCTCTGGCTGGTTGGTGGCTGGAAGGGAAGCCGAGACAGGCCTAGCTAAAAGTGGTGTGATGTGCAGCTACTTGTAGGTATACATGGTTTCATCCTTAGGTGTCATTCAGCAGGAATGTCTTACAGCTGTCTTAAACCTGGGATTGACTTCCACTCCCCACCACATTCAATATTGGTGTTCTGTATTTGATAACAAGCAGAGTTCTGGAAAATGGATAAGGATGTTTGCTCTATTCAGTTAAATTCAACCAACATTATTGAGTATTCATGGAAGACAGAATTACAGATGCCCTGTCTTTGAGAAGCTTATAGGTTAGCTTGTTAGGGGATCTAAGATGTTCAGAAATAACTATTAATTTCTCTTCAGCAAACCTTTATTAAATACCTACTGTGTGCATTGTGCTAGTTGTCAAGGACACGTAAATGATACAGTCCTTGCACTTGAGATTATAATTTAATAGGAAGAACTTGACATTTACATGAAGAAATATGATATGCAGGGTGGGATGTGCAAAAGAGAGACTGAAAACACTGTTAAGTAGATCCTCTCACTTCAGCTTAGGGCATAAGGGAAAGATTTCATGGCAGAGGCGCCACCTCAGCTAGTCCCTAGACAAAATAAGAGGCAGACATGATGATGATGATTACAATTGTTATTATTTGGGGTTGTCCATATGGTTGCAAAAAGTCCAACACAACAAAAATGCAGGCTGTATCAGATGAAAACCAGAAAGCTTGTACCCCTTTAATGTAACGAGCAGCAGAACTCTCACCAAAGGACTTGACTGAAACTCTAGCCTCTTGGCAGAAATGGAAAGCTGTAGGCCAGATAAGATCCATAATTATTGACTCAAAGACTTCACAGTGGTGCGTGAATTACCAGCAAAGCCCATGGCCAGCTTCCTCTCCAACATAACATAAGCCTGTTCCCATCTCTCTTAAAGAAAGACATCACATAATATTACCATAAACACCAGAGAGCCTTCCAGATGTAGGCCAGTTACATGTTTATGTCCTTTAAACAAAGCACTCACTTTGTCATGGGAAAAAATCAATAAACACTGACAAGAAAACAGTATTGGGCAGAAGAGGGAGAGATAGACCTAAAAGGGCCAGGGGTGATAAAGGTCAACTTATTCACTTGATAATAATTAAACAAGCTCCCGGAAAGGGCTGCTAAATATATAGTCTCTTTGTCAGTTGTCAAAAGCCTCTGACTCAGTTCCTCACTCACGGCTTATTCATATACTACAAATATGGAAAATAAACTCAGTCACAGTGAGACTACTAGAATATTTGGTGTTTACATGAAAAATTGTTCTTCATTGTAAACATTCTTCCAACGGTAATGTCTAGAACAGTGGATGTAAAACGTGATATTTTCCAGGGAGGAAATTTTTTTTGGGGGGGGGTTGGGGGGGCTAGGCAATGGGTTAAGTGACTTGCCCAGGGTCACACAGCTACTAAGTGTCAAGTGTCTGAAGCCAGAATTGAACTCAGGTACTGCTGACTCCAGGGCCGGTACTCTATCCACTGCACCTCCTAGCTGCCCCCCAGGGAGGAGATTTGAGCCTATTACTGTTCTTCTCAGCCTTCAGTCCATGATCATCTCGGTGCAGCTGCTGTATTAAAGGAATTGAACCAGACCAGCTTCTTAACCACTTGCTGTGTGTGAATCGTACCAAGCTCTAGGGATGGCGCCCCTGTACAACAAATAACTGATTCTTTCAGATTTATGTGGAATCTTTCTCCAGTGATATCAAAAGGTCATATGCAGCTTGAATCTGGAGGTATTATCAAACCATCAGATGAAGGCAAGACCCACATATACTTTAGTCTCCTTCATACGAGACATATAGAGCATAATAATATCAGGGGAAAAGGCTGTGGGTGAATACTTTTAAGAAACTTACTGAAATTCTGTAATGAAAACTGAACAGGACCAACATGTAGTTTATACTTTGAGAACTGTGAAATTGGCCATAACAGATTTGGAAAACATCAAAAACTTCTACAGTATTTAAAACACAGGGCCCATCACCCTGAGGCAGCTGTAGAAAGGGGAGCATGTCCATGCCAAAAAGGAGGAAGAAGATTGATAGCTGTTCTTATAGCAGGTGACAAACAGGTAAAAAACCTACAGAAATACTTTTGGAAAGTGCAGACATCATTTCATTGAGCGATAGCAAAGACTGATAACGAGGTACTCACCGTTAGATTTGTCAGATATAACCCATAGTGGCTCACTTCTGGAAGGAGCCGATGAAATGACCTAGATCCAGCAGTGGAACCTAAAGGTCTTCCGTGGCTGGCACCCACATGAACTTAGCCAACAATATGTCAAGAAAGAAGTGATGTGCTGACTGCCAGCAGATTTGATTTAGGAATGGAGGAGTCTGTGAGGACACCTCAGAACCAGGTTCCTGAAATTATAGAAGCATGATTATCCGTAAGGAGCCTGGGCATATTGAGCAATGTATAAGCTATGCACAGAAACATCGAAGATAGTGTAGCATGACTGTGACCCCCAAGTGATCTGGTAGCCAGAATCATGCACTAGAAGCTCACTGGCTCTCATGGGCTGAGAGGAGACAGATTCCCAAACTCCAGGTGCAGACCTCAAGACACCGTGCTGGAATGAGACCATTATCCCAGACTGTAGCCCACAGTTACTAGGGTGTAACATTGGATCTGTCAAAACTTGAGAACAGTATTTTTAATAGATATTGCTATATTAAGTGCCTCCAAGTTGTGAGGAAGCAAAAGGGTTCAAAATTCAGAGACCTACCAAGAACAGAAAGTCATGTGGGGAGCATGAGAGATACACATCAATGCCGTCAACCTGTCTGTTGCTGAAGTTGTCCCAAAGATGCTTTCAGAGTATCAGCAGGAGATGCGTATGCATCCTAATAATTTTGTTCACTTGTACAAAAGTCTACAGAACATTTAATATAAAAGAAAAAGAGGTTGGCCGCTTGTCCTAGAACTATTTCTAAGTGTCATTGTAAAAAATGAGAGCAGTATAAAATGTTAATTATGATGAAGGTGAATAGTGGAATAAGCATTTTACAGCACCTGCTATATGTCGGGGAATGTGCTAAGCACATTACCAATATTACCTCATTTGATTCTCACGATAACCTTGGGAGGTAGGTGCTGGTATTAGCCCTGTTTTTACAGATAAGGAAACTGAGGCAGACAGGTTAAGTGACTTGCTTAGGATCACACGACTAGAAAATGTTTGAAACCAGATTTGAACTTTGGTCTTCCTGACTCCAGATCCAGCACTCTATCCACTGTGCTACCTCCTGACTGCCCTGAGGCATGATGATGATGATGGTGAAGGAGAGGAAGAAGTAGAAGAGGAAAAGGATAACAGTGACAACAACATTTTCAGGGAGTAACTAGCAGTAAGATTTGACTGGAGCTGTTCTGTTATATTAGGGGGGTGGTGATGTGGCTCTGAGAGTGGTGGCAATATGAGTGAAGAGGATGACTTTGGAGAAATGTCGAGGTGGAATTGATATGATAACAACTGATGTAATGGGGTGAGGGGGTGAGGGACAGAGAACAATTTAAAATGACTGCAGGGTTTCATTCTGGGTGACCTGAAGGGTGGTGGTCCTATCACCTGAGATAGGGGAAAAGAAGCAGGTCTTGGGGAAAAAATGATGAGTTCAGTTTTGGATGCAGGGAGTTAAAATGCCCGTGGAACATTTGGTGGAGATGTCCAGCAGGCAAATGGAAGATCTCTGGCTAGAAGAGGTAGGAGCTGGATCTTTAGATCTGGGAGTCGTCTGCATGGAAACGACCCTGGAAGCCTGGGGCCTGTGTCTTGTCGAGCATTCTAACTCCAGCCTTACCTGTCATCATTATTTTACATCACCCTCTTGTGTGCTCTCACTCCACGGTCGGGCCACGCTGGTTATTTCGCTGTTGCGCATACACTCTATTACATCTCCCATCTTCATGCTTTTGCACAGGCTGTCCCCTATGGCTGGAATGCTCTCCTTTGTCGCCTCTACCTCTTTGCTTCCTTTAGTTCCTTCAAAGTTCAGCTCAAATGCTACCCCCACAAAGCTTTTCCAGATGCCCTTCCTGGTAGCACCTCCTCCTTAACAATATCGCCTTGCATTTCTTTTGTATACTCTTGTATGTATATATCTTGTCTTCCTTTTCCACATATCAACTCCTTGAAGGTCTGGTTTTAATTCACTTTTGTCTTTGTATTGCCAGCACCTAGTATTTGGCAGGTGCTTAATAAATGCTGTTTGGTTGTTTAGTTTGTGACCTTGGCCCTTCAATGGCCATCAGTTTCGGTTATCTGTACAATGAGGCAGTCGTTTCCAGCTCTGAATCCTGTGATAGGCTCTGGGATGGCAGCCGATGATTCTGAACCAATCCATCCTGTATTTTGGATTCTTTGCCCCTAAGTGCATTACTTTGCACTTATGCACATGGAAACCTGGCTTCCTCTTCCCTGCCCACTCTCCTAGCTTTGAAAGATCTTCCTTCATGTTATCCCCATCTGCTTGACTTTCCTTTACCCAGAAGAGTTTCATGCCATCTGCAGAACTGGAGATTTCACTGTGTGCTCCCTCCTCCACTTACAGAAGTGTTAAACCACTTATAAAAACGGTAACTAATGCCAGGCCTAGTTCTAATGTCTTATTTAGGAAGCACGTTGTTTATTGTTTATACTTCACTATTGCAAAATATACCTGTTTATCCTTACCCTTTGTTTCCTTTTTCGGAATCAATTCCCTGTCCACAACTGTCCAGTTCCTCCGGTCTCTTAGTGATTCAGTTTTGGGATGGACATTTGTTGGAAGGCTTAAATACAGTGGGTTGATTACATTCACTGGTTCGCCTTCAGCCACGTGCTCACCTAACCTCTTGAAGTACTTAAGCGTACCAGAACCACATTATAATGCAATTGGGAAATATTTAACAAAATAAAGTACAATAGAACATAGATAACATATTTTAAAACTAAATTAATCTATGACACACAGGGATCCTTAAGTACAGTTTGATGGCCCCCCATTTCTGTTTGACATCATTGCTCTAACATATGATGGTAAACCTTATTTTTTTTCTAGAACCAAAATTACTAATTCATTTGACAATGTTTTCAGACATTATGTGGCCAGGAGAAGATTTTCAAAGAGATAGTAAATAGAAACAAGGCTGAATGCATACTTTTGTTGTTGTGAAATTCAGTCATCTCCAAACTCTTCATAACCCCATTTGGGTTTTTTTGGCAAAGACACTGGAGTGGTTTGCCATTTCCCTGTCTAGTTCATTTTACAGCTGAGGAAAATGAGGCAAACGGGGTAAAGTGACTTGTGCAGGGCCACACAGCTAGTAAGTGTCTGAGGCTGGATTTAAACTCAGGTCTTCCTGACTCTAGGCTCAAGGGGTTGTGGTGGTAAAGGAACAAGCATTTGTTAAGCTCCTGTGATATGCAAAGTACTGTGCCAAGCACTTTGCAGATATCCCATTTGATCCTTAGAACAACCTTGTAGATAGAGCACTGGCCCTGAAGTCAGGAGGACCTGAGTTCAAATCCAGCCTCAGACAAAATACTTGACACTTACTAACTGTGTGACCCTGGGCAAGTCACTTAACTCCAATTGCCTTTAAAAAAAAAAGAGCAACCCTATGAACCAGGTACCACTACTACCCCCATTTTACAGCAGAGGAAACTGAGGCAGACAAAGGTTAAGTGACTTCTTCAGGGTCACAGAGTTAGCAAGTTGTTAGAAGCTGAACTGGAACTCAGGTTTTATACACACACACACACACACACACACACACACACACACACAAACTGACACTTATGTGGCACCTACCTAATATGCCAGACATTGTGCTAAATATTCCCATAATCACTGTCTTATTTGATTGTCACAGCAACCCAAGAGAGACAGGTGCTACCACAATCCCCATTTCTCAGATGAGGCAGCTAAGGCAAGTAACATCCAAGTGACTTGTCCAGGGTCACATGGCCAGCAGATGCCTGAGGCGAGACCTGAGGTCAGGTCTTCCAGACTCCAGGTCTAGTGCTCCATCTGCCTGTCTGTATGTGTGTGTGTGTGTGTGTGTGTATGTACATGTGTATAAATACATTAAGTACATGATTTTGCTTAAGAAATCTTTTGGGAACAATAAGATACTCCATATTGAAATTACTGAACTATATTGGAATTTTATTTTCTCTGAAGAAATAGATTTTTTTTTCCATCTATACTTTTGTCGTAACTTTCAGCTGTACTGTTCCCACTTAACATAATCTAACAACTAGACTCAGGTTGTCTATGAACCCATAACTGGTTTGACCAATTAAATTATAAACTGATTTGTCTCCTTTTTTCAAATAAATTAACTAATACAGTCTATTGATTAAGCCAGTTATGTGTGTGTAGATACAGCAAAAGAGAAAGTCCTTCATGTTAATGTTCTATCAGGACCCTTTTGGGGAAGAGCAGATAGCACCAGATATCATTAGGCATTTCAGATTGCTCGGGTACTCTATTCTCTGACCTTAATCTCCAGACGTGAGGTGACAGTTTGGTCACTTACCCCTTCTTCCTCTGACCTACAGTGAGAGGTCGTGTGCTTTGTACAGTGAGACGAGTGCTAGATTTGGAGTCGGGGACCTGCCAGTTAACTCCTATGTGTCTGACATCAGACGAGTTAGAGAAGCCAGTGGGCTTCAATTCTCTCATCTGTCAAACGAAGGTGTTGGACTAGATGTCCTCTGTGTTTACTTCTAGCAGATGGGACGCTTTTACAGAGATTGTGTGCCCTTCCCCTGTTGACTTATGTTCGGCAGTATATTCAGTGAATCTGTCCTTTATCACAGAACTCACAAAACCTAAGCACCTTACCTAGTGGGCGAGGTAAGATTCATTACTCTGTCGTTCCTAGGTCATATTTGGAAACAATCACTGGATCTAGAATCATAGAATGACCTGAGTTCAAAGTTTGCCTGTGTAACCTTGGGCAAATCACTTAAATTCCCTGCTTCTCAGGTTCTTCAGCTGTGTGATGGAAGGAAACTGTTGTTAAATATCTGGAGTCTCAGGAGGACCTGAGTTCAAATCCGGCCTCAGACCAAACACTTAACACTTACTAGCTGTGTGACCCTGGGCAAGTCACTTAACCCCAATTGCCTAAAAACCTTAAAAGAAACAAACAAACAAACAAATAAATAAATGTCTGGAGTCTCTTCTAGCTCAGTGTCCACAATGCTCTGTGTTCTAGTCTTTCAACACAGCGCCCATTTGAAATGCCAGATTAGAGGTTTTGGCCAGCAGTTATCCATGAGGACGTAAATAACTTTGTGTATGATGATGAATTAGAATGACGGATTTTATTTTCTAGATATTATTTGGCTATTTGCAATTGAATCTGCTAATTTGTACCCTCTGCTTAGAAATTGTGACACGGAGAAGCTTGATTAAATGGAATCCACCCTCAAGTAACCAGTTTCCCCCCCATTCTCCTTTTCTGGAGGAAATGGACGATAGATGACAGATTTGCCAGCCTCATGGGTTTCTGTTTTGAAAGTGACCTGTAGGATGGCTAGTTAGTACTTGCTACACTTTATGTATCTCTAGTATTCTGTCCAATGAGAAATAGCCCTTAAAATTATATTGCCAGGCCCGTCAAAATCCTGAATTGGCAGGATAGCAACTCTTTGGTGGCAAGGACTTTTTTCACTTTTGTTTTTGTATCCCTAAGCAGTTAGCATAGTGACTAGCACATAGTAAGGGCTTAATTGATTGATTGATGAGAACTTAGAGGGTGAATCCTCAGTTAACTCAAAATTTCAGGTAAACTAGAGAGATATCCTTCCCCAAACATTGAGGTATTGAGGTTTTCTCAAACAGTTTTTCCATTAGAAGCAGTAGATAAGGGAATGGACATATAATCAATAAACATTATTGACACATTGCTAATCTCTGCAGATGCAAAGAAAGGCAGAAACAGTCCCTGGCCCTCTAGGAACTCACTTTTGAGTCTCCCTCTGTCTACCATACAAGAAGTGCAACAGCCACTAACTGGCCCAGTTGTGCTACCAATTGGCAGGGGGCTTTGGCCTGCTCCTGGAGGCTCAGCTATGTTGGTGCTGGCCTATTCAGTGGAGAGACCTGATCAGCCTTGGTCCGCAGAGCTCTGACGCCCTCCCGAGCCATCAGCCTTGTGGCCTTCTTAGGAGCGAGGGCACAGGATGTCCCATCAGGCTGAGTTGCAACTCCCATTCTAATTGGGTAGGCAGCATGCAAACAGCTATGTACAAGATACAGACAATATAAACGAGAGATAATTCTCTCATATATAATATATAATATATAATATGTATATATTAATACATTATATAATAACATAATATGACAGATAATACAAATGAGAGAAAAGAGAGCAGTAATGAGGAGTGGGAAAAGCTTCTTGTAGATGGTAGGATTTTAATTGGCGCTTTCAAGGAAACCTGAAGTTAGAGATAAGCTGCAGATATGGGGGACAACGAGTAAAATGCAGTGAGAGGAAGGAAAAGGAATGAACATTTGTATAGTGCATATTGTGTGCTGAGCACTGCTGAATACTAAGTGTCATAGAATAAGGGCATAGCGTCTTCTAGGAGGAACCTCAAGGAGGCCATTTTGCTGGTTCATGGAAGTATGTGGATGGAAGGAAGGACTTGGAAAAGGAAGAAGGGGCCAAGTTATTAAGGTTATAAAAGGTTTTAAAAACCAGAAGATTTTTACATTTGATTGTGGAGGTAATAGAGAGCTACTGGAGATTATAAACGGGGTAATATGTAGACTTGTGTTTTAGGAAGATACCTTTGAGAATTGAGATGGAAGATAGACTGTAGTGGGGAGAGGCTTGAAGTAGAGAGCCCAGCTAGCAGGCTATTGCAATAATTCATGTTTGAGATGATGAAGGTCTACACCGTCGTGGTAGCAGTGCCGTAGGAGGAGAAGTAAGTAGTATATCCCTGAAGTAAAGAAAGGTAGAATTGGTAGGACCCTGCTTCGGATTGGCTTTGGGGTTGGGGGGAAGGAGGGATGAGAGAGAAAGTGAGAAAGTCAAGGCTGATCCCTAGGTTTCAGGCAGGGGAACTGCAAGGATGGTGTTGCCCACTGCAGGAAGATAAAAGAAAGGAGGATTTTGAGGGAAACACAGTGAGTTCAGTTTTGCGTATGTTGAGTTTAAGATGTCTGTGAGACATTCACTTAGAAATGTCCAGTGGGCAGTTGGCTGTGCTGGACGAGGTCAGAGACTTAGGGCTGGATAAATAAATCTGAGGATCATCTGCACAGGGATGATAATTGAATGCATGGGAGCTGATGAGATCACCAAAGAAGTAGGAGAGAGGGCCCAGAACAGACATCCAGGGCCTGGGTGAAGATCCTACAGGGGAGACTTCATCTCTCCCCTCTGAGCATTCTCTCTGGCTGTCCCCCATTCCTCCACTCTGATTACTGACCTCCCTGGCTTCCTTTAAGTAATAACTAGAATCCATCCCACTTTCTACAGGAAGCCTTCCCCAACCCTCTTCATTCCAGTGCATTCCTCTGTTAATTATTTCCCATCTGTCCTCTCTGTAGCTTGTTTGTGCGTATTTGTTTGCATGTTGTCTCTCCTGTTAGATTGTAAGCTCCTTGAGGGCAGGGATTCTCTTTTGCCTCTTTTTGTGTCCCCAGCAGTTAACACAGAGCCTGGCACATAGTTTGTGCTTAATGTTTATCGGTTGATTTGTAGGCAGCAGAGAAACCTCCAGTAGCCCTGGGAGAAAAAAAGAAGGGAGATGATAGAAGAGGCAATCTTCTGGATGGAATGGAATCATGTGGGAATTTTGAGGGGTTTGCATGGCTTAGGGTTTTAAAAATCACTGTTATCCAGAGTTCTTTTCCTCTTTACTGCTCCCCAACCCACGCCTTAGATTTTTTTTTTTGAGTGGGCCAGAATGTACTTAAAATCATGCCCCCTTTTCCTGTATTCCCTGTTGGGGAATTTTTAGTCTTTTTTTTTTCTTCTCCTGGATCAAATATACTCCTGCTGTTGTCTCTGTACACCCCCTCATGCCTTGAATAACCTCCCAGTCAACAATCATTCAAGCCCTGTCTTTCTTTTCTTCTTGTCTTGAATGAAATCTACCACATCTACAAACTCAGCCTCAGTGAAAATATATTTTCTTGCTTTGTATATATATCACATACATTTATTTGTATGGTCCAGTATTGAACCCTAGGCTCCTTCTAATCTGTATTTGTTACTATTATAAGCTGTTATGTATGTTTCCAGTGCTGTGTAATTAATGCCTCTGCATAGATATACACACATAAGGAAACACGCCTGCGCATGGAGCATTCTCTTTCTCTCTCTCCACCCCCCCTCCCCCCTTTCTCTCCTCCTCCCTCCTTCCATCCCTCCTCTTTCTCCTCTCCCCATCTCTCTCTCTCCTCTCTCCTCTCTCTCTCTCTCTCTCTCTCTTTTGCTTTCCTCTCTGTCCTCTCTCCTCTCTCTGTCTCTCTCTCTCTCTCTCTCTCTCTCTCTCTCTCTCCTCTCTCTCTCTCTCTCTCTCTCTCTCTCTCTCTTCTTTCTCTCTCTCTCTCTCTCTCCCTCTCTCTCTCTCTCTCTTCCTCTCCCTCTCCCTCTCCCTCTCCCGACTGCCACTCTCGAGCAGGCCCCTATGTGTGTGTTGGAGTTGGAGATGTCAGCCTGCCAGGAGGAGGAGGGGAGAGGAGAAGGAGGTGGGGCCCTGCTCTGATTAATTACCTTAGGCATTCGGGGGTGGGGCTTCCTTCAGCCATCTGCCTGAGATATGGGAGGGAGCTGGAGAAAGAAGGAGGGGGAGAGACTGCCAGAGAGGAAGAGAAAAGAAAGGAAGAAACACTAGCGAGAAAAAGAAAGGAAAGCGGAATAAAGGGATAGAAACTACCCACCCTTACGTGTCCAAACTGGGGGGGGGGGGTGGGGGGTTGAAAGGCAGATCCGAGGTGGTGCTTGGTGCCCGCCCCGGCCGCTTGGAAGGCTTGTTTTCTTCCTAGTCCTCTGCCCCGTTTGGTTTATGGAGAAGAAGAAAATGGTCACTCAGGTAAGCCTTCTGCTTCCTCCAGGAACGCCTTTCTCCCTCTCGCCCAAGTCTTAGGCGTGTGGGGCCGTATGGAGGGCAGTGGGTGGGGGATGCTGCCAGGGCTTTCCTTCTTCCATGAGGCTACTTTGGGTGGGCTAAGCTACGCTGTGTGTGTGTGTGTGTGTGTGTGTGTGTGTGTGTGTGTGTGTGTGTGTGTGTGTTGGGTCATGAGTGCATGTGCGCATTTGTGTGTCTGTGTGCATCCCTCTTTCTCCCCCTTCCCTCTGCTCCATAGCAGATTCCTGTTTCCTGTGCTGTGCAGCTGCAGCTCAGGAAAGACCCTGTGGGGATTTGTCTACCTCTTTGTCTTGGTTCTGAGAGGGAGGGAGAGCGGGACTGCAGAGGCATGGAGGGATTCTTGTAGGCTGCCATGAAATGGGAAAAGGGAGAGATTTCATTTCAGGAATCACTGTGGAATTTGCATGATGGGAGAAATCAGATTCTGTGCAGTGAAATTATGCTGTCTTCCTCTGAACAGCTTATTGAAAGGCAGACTTGGAGAGGAATTGGGTTCATTTTCATCATGCTCTTACTAGCTAAATATTTGAATAGGTACTGGTGGGACCGTGTAGGTGTAGCTGAGCTACCCAGAGCCTTAGTTCCCGAACCTGAGAACAGGTGTTTATGTCTCTGACAGTCACATTGGCATTGGAAGGTGTGTGAAGGAGACATAGAAGAAGCCCAGTGTCCCTTAGACTCTGCCAAGTTGTTATGAACCAGAATTTTAATGTATCCTCTCGGACAGATACCAAACTGAATGTCACCGCCACCTCCCATCCTTCTGTTGACACCCTTAAGTCCAATCCTTTTTCTTTCATCATATAGAGTTTTAGGAGTGGGGTTGTGCTTTATTAGGGGAGAAATCCTTTGCAGCATAAATGAGAGACAGATGGCTTTTAGTGCTAGCACAGGTTTCTGCTTTGTAGGAAGATTTCCTCATTGGCCAATACTCGTTATTTAAGGAGATCGCTGTATTTTGGGGTATTCTTTTCTGTCTTTCTCTTTTCTCCTCTTCTAGTCACCACCGGAGGGCGAGAGGGGGGGGCCAGCAATGGTGGAGGGAGAATATAGCCCTGTAGTTGTAGGAGCTGGAATCCTGTTCCGTTAAATGTTATATAATGCCCCGCAGTGCTGTTTGGAAAGAGTAAACCTTTGGGGAATATTCTCTGCTTGGAGAGGAGAGCCCTTGGAATATGTTAATCTTTCTTATACATATCCTCTTATCTTGAATCTAATTCATTGTTGTTAAATGCTACCTTTTAAAATCCCCCACAAAAGAGGAAACCTATTTTTGAATACTCCGGTGCTGGAGAATATACTACCTGCTTAACAACACTGGAGCCTCATTTCATTTTCATTAGCTGTCTTTGTAGTAGAGATGGTAACGGTTCTAACAACTCTGTCCCTTCTCAGGTATTACTGAAGGCTGTCTGACTTTGGGACACTTCTGCCTCACTATTTTCATTACTAAGGACTTCTCAGCTGAACTGAGAGGTACACACACACACACACACACACACACACACACACACACACACGTATGCATATATGGGCCATAGCTAGAACACAGTGACTGTAGTAGATATGTTGTGACCTTAACCATCAGTGAGCTTTAAAAAAAAAAAAAACAAACCAAAAAACAAAACCAACCAAAGATGGGAAGTGAAGGCAGGGGAGAGAGTGGAACCCAAAAAGAGGGTTTGGTGCAGGATTTCTTAACTTTTTTGTATCGTGGACATATTTGGCTGTCGTTAGTAGACCTCTTCCCAGAATCATGTTTTTAAAATGCATAAAATGAAATATGTAGAATTACTAAGGAAACATGAACTCCAGGTTAGGAACCTCTACTTTAAAGAATTCTGGTGAATATAGATTTCTTTGGACCTTGACTGAAGAACAGGCTGAAAGAAACTTTGCCCATCCCAAATTTATATGTTGGAAGTGAGAAGCTGGTGGATCCTATGCCTTGCAGGTTTTAGTTGACCTTGAAGCATGATCATGTTGGTATTTGTATTTTGTATGTACATAAGTCTAAGCAAGATGGGCCGGATTGGATTCCTCTTCTTTGTAGGAGGTAACAATACTTCTTCGGCACAGGAGGTCATGTCCTGATACTGGCCTGCCAGATGAAGGGCTTGCCGGGGTGCGTTTACAAATAGGATCTGTGCTGCACAGTTAAGGTTTGTCAGGTTGAATTGTTCATTGTGTCCATTGGGGTCTTACGTGGCCTGGTGTTTTTCATTCTCAACGTACTATTTTTACTGCGTAGCAAGATGAAACCTTTGCATTTACAGATCCCATGATTTCAGGAGTCCCTAGTTTCTCAGTGGAAGAAGAGATTCAAATAGATTTCCACAGTGTAAGGTATAGTGTTTTAGACTTATGACTATTTGCTGTGGTTTTCTGCAAAGTCAGTAGTGAACAAGGCCTGTTCTTCCTAAGTGAAGACTGTCTCATGGTTTCTTATGAGTATTGTGTATTTTCTATAATGTGTGGTTTTTGACATTATTTTTTCTGTATTGGGAGACTAGAGGACATGGGACATAACATGTAATGTCAGACTCTTTTGATTTGCTAGTTTTGCTGAACTCTCTTGTCCCCTTCCTCCACTCTCCCTTTAAAATTCTTTATTAAAGAATGACTTTCTGGAGGGTGGAAAAGGATAGTCAGTGTATTTAAGAAATGATTTCTGAATAGAAGGGAGCACTGCTCAGAGCTCATCAGAGCTTGTTAGCAGGACAGATGCTAAACTGACCCATGGCAGTTGCAATATGACTTAAAGGCTAAGTTTTCTATTCGTTGCATAGTCATAGAATGTCAGAACTGGGAAATACTTAAAGATATAGTGTCAGACAAATCTGAGAGAGGATCAGGCACCTCATTTTTTTCAGTCAGATAAATTCTATAGGAAGCATTTCCCTCTTCCCCCCTTCTAATATACAAACATACCAATACAATACAAACACAAACCATATCATACCTCTGCAGGTCTACCAGATGGATGGGAAGAGAGAAGGTCTTCTCATAGCTGAGTTAAGTAAAAATAGAAAAAAAACCCAAAATAGTTGATGAGAAGTTGAGCTCTAGTCCATTAATGGAAAATGCCCTGACCTGATCTCCTCGATCCTAAATCAGTGAAAATGAATGAGAAGCCTGGCTCCATGTGGTGTGTGCTAATTGCAGATAAAAGGGAAAGTGCTAGGCAGAAAGGAAAAAATATCTACAGGATGTGTTATGGATTTTTTTTCTGTCCTCTAATGGAAAGTAAGATTGCTGGTTTCTGTGGAACACAAAGCCCTCCCTTTCTTGGACTGTCTAGTCTAGTGCCGTGCTGGCATTTTCTTAGGAATCTGTTTCCCATCAGGACTGAAGGAGGGGAAAGGGGGGGGTGGTAGAAGGTGTTCAGAATATAGGAGAATGGACAAGGGGTCGCTGTCTCTTTAAGCAGCTGGCTGAGGAAGTCCATGTGGTGGGAGGCAGCTTCGGAGTGTGCGCTTTTGTAAGGAATCTCCGGGTCCATTGTTCGCCCTGTCCTCTTTTGAGCCCAAAGGGCCCAGGTCTTTCACCTGAGCAGCTGAGGTTCCCTCTTTCAGCCTGGTAGTGGAAGGCAGAGACCCCTCCCCACTTATTTCCTGTCTCCTCCCACCCCTCCTCCATTTTCATTTGGTTAGAAATCAGGAGTGGTGTGCAGTGAGGCTCTGCTTACCCTTTCAGGTTCCTGGCATCCTCCCTTCCATTGGTTCTGGGACTCCTTCCGCGATTCCAGCAGTCTCCATTTTGTAATCCCAGGCCTCCTCTCTCTTCTCTGGAGCCCTCCTCCTCGGTCCCCTCCTCTTGGAAGCTCCAGCCAGCTCCGTTTACCTTGGCACCCACTCGCTGTGCGCTGCCCGGGACTCAGGAAGGTGGTGGAGTTTGTGGCCTGGAGACTAATTGATGGCCTTTACAATGAACCAAAAGCAGCCTCACTTTTTCCAGAGATTCTGTTTTTTTCTGTATTTTCCTCCACTGCCCCACATCTTGTGGGGTAACTGTTTCTTTGCCAGGGACTTAAAAACGGCCTCTGCTGCAGGCTGCCTCATCTTTCCTGAAGAGAAGTTGAGAATTCCATCAATGGTGAACTGATGAAATCAAGCTGTTCTCTGACTCATTAAAAACTTCTCCCTCCCTTCCCCTTTTTCTCTGCCCCTTTTCCACTGCCTCTCCTTCATCTCCTCTGCATTTACAGTAGAGACCAGGTAAGTTAGGAACCCACTTTGCAGCTACTGTTCACGTTTAAAGGGATCCCATTCCATCCCATCTCCTCCAGCGAATTGCCCCTTTTGTCATCCCCACTCTCATTTATTTTTAATCTCTGGCTGCTTCCCTACTGCCTACAAATCTGCCCATGGCTCCCCATGGTCTAAAATACCTCCACTTCATCCAGTTGTCCCCACTAACTGTGGTCCCACATCTCTCCTGCCTTTTGTGGCTAAACTCCTCAAGAAGGCAGTCTCCAGAAGGTGCCTCTATTTCCTTTCTTCTTCAGAGTTACTTGTGATCTCGTGGTTGTCAAATCTAATGGCCGTTTCTCAGTGACCTCTGAAGTCCTTGACATGGCTGTTCACCCTCTGCTCCTTGATACTGTCTTCTTTTGGTTTTGGGGACACCCCTCTTTCCTGCTTCTTCTCTCTGTCTGACCACTCCTTGGTCTCTTTGGCTGGGTTTCCAGGTCAGGCCACAACGGTGGGTGTCCTGCAAGGCTCTGTCCTAGGCCCTCCTCTCTACTCTGGTTTACTTGGTAATCTCGTTAGTTCCCGTGGATTCAATTATCATCTCTATGCTGATGATTTTCAGCGCTCTTTATCCAGCCCTAATCTCTCTGCTGACCTCCAGTCTCACATCCAACTGCCTATTAGACATCTTGAACTCAACACGTCTAAAGCTGAGCTCATACTCTCCCTCCCCAAGCCAACTGCCCCTTCCATAATTCCCTATTACTGTTAAGGGCACCGCCATCCTCCTAGTCCGTTAGACCCCAGACCCAGTTGTCATCCTCAACTCCTCTCACCCCACTCCCCACCCCCAGTCCAATCTGTTGCCAAGGCCTGTTGGTTTTAGCTTTGTTAACATCTCTTTCACATTCGCTGCTTCTCTTCTCTGACACTGACACCCTAGTACAGGCCCTCATCACATTACTATGCCCACTGTTTGGTCTCCCTGCCGTGACCCTCTCTCCTCCAGACTATCCTTCCTTCACTCAGCTGCTAAAGTGAGTTTCCCAAAGTGCAGATCTGTTCATGTCAGCCTCATTTTCAACAAACTCCAGTGGCTCTCGGTCACCTTCAGAATCTAACAGAAAACATTCATAGCCTAGAATAGTCCCCTGGGCACCCCCACCCCACCCCCGTTTCTCTTTGCTATTCCTCAGACAGGATACTCCATCTGTTGGCTCCGGGCATTTTCCCTGGCTGTCCCCATTCCTGGAATGCTCTCCTTCCTTGTCTCTGCCTCGCCCCAGCTAACCTCCTAGCCTCCACAGGAACACTTTCACAGTCCCTCTGAGTTCTCACACCTTTTCTCTGTTGTTATTTCCTGTTGGTGCTGTCTGGAGCTTGTTAGCCTGTTGTTTCCCCTGTCACATTACATATGTGCCCTCCAGGGCAGGGACTTTATTCTGACTTTCTTTGCCTGGCACATAGTGGGCACTTGCTTATTTTTTGTGGACTGACTAAAGGAGTGGCAGGTTTGATGATAGCAAGGTCATGACTGCCCTTCTCCTTCCTAGTCGCTGGGCACACCTAAGGTTTTTATTTTCGCATCTCTCCTTCTTTACCTTTCGCTGATTCATGTCCAGAGAGTCCTTTTTCTGAGAGGTTTTAGTCCATCGCTGTTTTGACGAGTAACTGTCTGTGGAGAATACTCGTTTAAGCTTTCTTTCGTGAAGTGCTTTAGGCCCCTTCTTGGACATCTCTTTTTCAATCATCAGACTGAGCTGAAGAGAGAAACCAGAAAGCCTGATTTTCTCCTAGAGTTTCTCCTTTCCTCTCCCTTTGCAAATATTCTCTCATGCTGTTGGAGGCATTCCACCCTACCTCCTCTCTCGGAGTCTTACAGTCATGCAGAGCTTTGAAGCTCCCCAGCCATCCACCCTTTCTCCACATTCTGAACCTGTCTCATCCTTGCTGCTTGGTCTACCAAAGTTACTTTCTACCTAATCTGAATCTTCTGAGACTCATTTTCTTCATTCTTAATTGGGACAGTGACATAGACTAGAGAATCATTGCAATCAAATACATTAATATCTGAAATATATACTTTTTCTTGTGATAGTAAATACTTTCCAACTCTTATGATCAACAGTTATTTTGATTATAGAACCTTTGTCCTGTTGCCCTGGTAGTCAATAATGTTATCCTTGCCATTGTACTTCATTGGGTCCATTTTTTTCAGATTATTACTTGTACTTCCATTACCATCTAGAAGAGGGGTTCTTAATCTGGGGTCTGTGAACTTTTTAAAATATATATCTATTCTAGTAAATTGGTTTTCTTTATGATCTGATAGGTTTTATTGTATATAGTATTTAAAAACATTCTGAGAAAAGGTTCATTGATTTCAGTTATACCTTCTAAGTCAGAGGGCAGCCTGATACAAAAAAAGGTGAAGAACCCCAGAACTGGAAACTTAAGGTTGTAGGATCCTAGAGTTGGAAAAGACATTAGAGGTAATTTAATTCAGTTTCTCATATCTGACACTTGCTTGAAGGCCCTTAGTGACTGAGGCAGCTCCTTCCATTTTGAGTTTCTCTGCTAAAAAGCTCTTTACATTCGGTTGAAATTTGTTGTCCTGTCACTGATTCCTCTTGCTCCTAGCTCCGCCTTTTGCAGTCATAAAACCTGTGTGATTGAAAAAGCACAAGACAGTCCTTCACATATCAGAAGAGAGCTGTTCAGGCCTCCCCAGATCTTCTCTGGGTTAATGCATCTTCATTTCTACCTGCCATTCTTCATGTGACATGGTTTCAAGAGCTGTCACTGCCGTAAACATTAATACTGAAAAAAGAACCATTTCTGTGAACTAATTCCACTTAGCAGAAGTAAAGAGGAGGTACCACTCAGTATATATCAGATCAGGTTTGATTTACAGTCTTAAATTCTCTTCATGTATGCTCAGTTTTCAAAGGTCATTGCTTCCATAGCATGGTTGTCCACTCACGGCTTTTAGAAAATCAAAGGAAACAGACCCCTTAGTTCAGTCTAGTTCCTGAAAGATCCTGTGGCACTGTGTAATGGGAATGGGGCAGCTACATGATGCAGTGAATAGAGCACGGCCCTGGAGTCGGGAGCACCAGAGTTCATATCTGGCCTCGGCCATGTAACCCTAGGCAAGTCACTTAACCCCAGTCGCCTCCAAAGTAAAAAACAAACAAACGAATGACATTATGTAATGAGAAACACTTAATCTGTGCAAAATTGAGAGACAGGGACCTGTGACTATAATCTTATTTCATTTTAATGCTGTGATACATGAGTAGAGCTGTGATCTCCTCAATGTCGACACTTCTTCCATCATGGCAGATTGAAATATATCTGTGCCCGCTCATCCAATATTTAAATACCAAATATGGTAATGAAGTTAATAGCTGTATTAAAAGTTAGTCCTAAATTACAAATTAATGTCTTTCATTCTTTTTATTTTTTAAATTTAATTTATTACAATGAACAAAAATCTATTTTCTCTCTCTACCCGTTACCCCTTCCTTGAAAAAGAAAGAAAAATAGAACACTTGTAAGAAATATGGATAGGCACACAAAACAAATTTCCAGGTTGGCCCTAAAAAGTGTACTACATTTCATGGATTTGTGTGCCTGACATGCCTTAGCCATGCTAATCTCTGTATCTGTCCATTTTAGCGTATGTGCTGCTGCAGTACACTCTCGTCCTTCTGTAGAAATGTATCCTCTTGGTCCTCCTGATTCTTTTAGTACGCGTTCCCCTATATCCTAGACAGTTCTTTTATGTATTCAATCAACAAACATTTATTAAAGGCCTGCTGTGTGCCAGGCATTGTGCAAAGCACTGGAAGAAATGTGGAAATCACTTTCTATTGTCATAGAGTTTCTAGCTGAAAGGACTTGAGAACATAACAAATCAGAGCTGGAAGAAGATTTAGAGGTCATCTAGTCTAATCTCATTTTACCAGTGGCTGAAACTGAGGCCTAGAAAGGAGAAGTGACTTGCCCCAGGTCACACTTGTAGGAAATAGAAGTCAAGATTCAAACCCAAGGCCTCTGACTCCAAAACTGGTTTTCTTTCCACACTTAACACCCTGCTTCTTATACTAATGCAACAAACCATTTCTTATAGTTGAAGGTAACGTCCCTAAGAATTAATATCTGTATATCGAATGTATCGTAGTGGTTGCTTTCATACGTGTTGTTGCTTGACTTTTTCCTGGAAAATGATTATTTTAGACTCGTAGGGAAGAGGGAAGGGGAAAGGGTGCAAGAATTATTAAGCACCTTTCCTATGTACTTGAGGGCCTTTTCTGGATGATTGTGACCATCAGGCAGTGAGTTTGACACCTCTGATCTAGATCCCTGGGGGAAAAGTGTATTTTCCTGCCATGTTACAACTAAACCACTTCAAACAAGTTGTTCTTTAAAAAACAAAGACATTCTCATGCAGTTTTCTAGGTACAGAGTTCACCCCATCTTTTGGAAACTATGTTTAACAGCCTTTTTACTTTAATCAGTTTTTTTTTGTTGTTGTTGTTTACCTCAGATTTAAAAGCAAACAAACAAACATTAATTTCTCCCTAATTACAGAATCTGGTTACCTTTCTTATAATTGCCATTTGTATGTCCATATATCTGAGATTCCAGTTACATATTCATAAAATGCAGAAATAAAACCCATTAGCTAAGCTTCTTTCAGTCCTTTCTTGAGGCTAACCACAAG